CCCACAGGCCAAATGTATCCTGGGGTTCTGTTCGCACTTAAGCCCAACCACAAGACCCTGTCCAACGGGGGGGGAACAAAATATGATACTTCCTTAAAACAGATAAGTAGATCGAAACAAGCTCCTTTTACGCAACGAAGTCGTGCCACGTGGGGTTCAGCTCGCACTTGAGTCTGATCACACACCTGTTCCGGGGAAGGGTAAGGCACTTCCGTTAAAAAAAGTTGTGTGATCAGACTCACGTGCGAGCTGAACCCCAAATGACACGACTTCGTTGCGCAAAAAGGAGCTTGTTTCGATCTACTTACCTGTTTCGGGAAAGGGGTATATTTTGTACCCCCCCCCCCCATTGAAGACAGTCTTGTGAATAGACTCTAGTTCGAACAGAACCCCAGGATATATTTGGCCTGTGGGTTCGTCTCGAATAGCGTCCCCGAAGACCCGCTAGTCAACAGCGTCAGCGATAAAATTGGTGCTTTAAGAAGGGGTATCGTTATGTCCAGGGGAAGCGTCGCCTGCTCCAATCCAATGATCATCTGGTAGGCGAGAGCTCAAAGAGCCTTCGCTGTCACTGGCCATGATAGTTGGATGAGAAATTGTTTGTTCAGTTGTCTGCAAAGGGACTATGTGCATTCGCGTCTCGAACTCAGATTAGTCTCAATATTACTCAAAAAGGGTCAAGTAGATTAATATACCGAGGGTGCGGGTAAAACTTTCCCATTTTAATTTTTAATTTTCTAATCACTATCGTATTTCTATGTTAAAATTACCGCTCGAAGGTATACGTATACCACCTTTCAAAACGAATAAAATGATGGAGCAGTTAACTGCATGCGCTCGGCAGCTCTTCGAGGGCGTACCGGGCAGCCATGAGCAACACGCAGCCAATGCGTGGCTCATGCAGTTCCAGACACGCGAGGAAGCGTGGCAAGCTGCACTACAGGTACTGGAGCATTCTGTATGCGACTCGAATACGCATCAGCTACTTGCTGCCCCACAACTCGTGGCCATGCAGATCCTTCGGCTTAAAACGCAGCACGAATGGACGCATCTCAGTGTACAGCAACAGCAAATTGTGCGACAAGTACGTCATCAATTACGTGGGAAGAGTGATGATCCACTAGCGACATGAATACGAAACAGATGACGAACAACTTGCTGTTGACGTAATCCACATATAACAGACCTTGTTGAAGTTGCTGGAGATAACATGTGGGACAGAAAATGGCCTTTCACGAGTAAGTTGCCGCATTGCTTGTGTGACGTTGGCGGATATTGTGGTCAAGTCGTGCAGGAGCTGGACAAACTGGAAAAGTGACGTGCTGCGGCTTGTGAATGGAAATGCCGCTGCTCGAGTACATCCGAAAGGGTCTGTTGTGGTAGGACACAGCATGTGGAAGTTAAATTCGCGGTGAGATGTGGTTGCGTTTATAATAACAATCATGTGATGTGTATGTTACAGTTGGTAGATGTTCTAGGAGCCATTCCACTACAGATCTTGGCGTCAGAGAGTGCGTGGACTATGGAGGAGATGCAGCAGATGCTGTCAATGTTTCAGGTTGAAGGACATACAATCATGACAGCGGTGCAGATGATTCTGACGAGCATGTACGTTACTGCAGTTCCGTGGATTGGCTTGTCGCTAAGTGCTAAGTTATTCTGTATAATGGTTGCAATGGTACAGACCGGATGAGAGGAACAGCGCTTTCCGCTGCCTAGAAAGTTGGATTGTAGGTTGCATTCCAACTCACGAGACGTTTGGTTTGAATGCAGCGCATCTTTTTGCTAGGTCTGACAAATTTCTTGAAATCGGATATGCCTCGTTTTGGGTAGGATTTACTTGCTGTTACCCTAACGATCTGATGTGTATTGCCCTGGTGATGTAGTGGACTGCTTGACGAGCTATTCGATGCAGCTATTAGTGACGGCGAGGACCAGGCACAGGTACATTTTTTTTACTCGCGAGGTCATGGATGAGCATACCGCCGTTAAGCTTTGCAAACGTAGCTGGCTGCAGGAATCATTGCGGATTCTTTTGTGTGGAATGCCTTGACTGTCGGGTCTGAAAGCATATGCCAGGCAGTACTTCACTCTGGATACCGTTTGATTGAAGCGATGCCCCTGTTTCAGTCTGAATGGCGACCTCTGACGGGCACCATAATGACAAAGGAGCGACGAACGAGCGCTTGCAGGGGTATGTCACGCATTGCTTGCTCTCTAGCAATGAATCACGCGCCTGTATTGTTTTCAAATCATGATGCAAAGACTAAAGCGTCTCGTAAAAGCCTCACATTAGAGCAGCAGCAACGGTTTTCATTTGACTTTTTGGAACTGCTTCTTGCCTGCTCATCGTATGATGACATCGATGTCGCACAACCTACGTTGGAAATCTGGTTTTTCTTTCTCGAGAATAATCCATTACAAAACGAGATGTCATGGCAACTTTTCGACACCACGGGGCAGGAGCATGTGGTCAACGTGCTTTCACGTCTAGTGAACGCGCTTATTGAGCAGTGCAAGTACCCGCAATGGTTTGTTGAGAGGAACCAAATCGTAAGCGACGATCCTGAGATTGAGGCGATTGCTGAGTTCCGGAGGTAATGGCTGTAAAAGATATAGTGCATACGTTTGGAAGTGCAGGATCGGGTATGGCCTTACAAAATGTGTGTATGAGTCCAGAGAAATCGCAGACACTATGTTAAGTCTTTTCTCCAAGTGGCCAAGAAACCACGGGAAACCTGCTGGAGACTATGCGTCATGTGTGAAAAGCATGTGCCAAATGCTTTCGGATTGCAAAGACGTCGCACTGATTGATGCGCTGCTTTTCTTGCTGTCGTACACGGTTGAGTTATTCGATACTATGTTGTCTGATTCGGAATCCGCAGACGACCTAAACTCGTTTCAAGCTCCTGTATCAAGTGGGATTGATGTTTTGTTGGGAGTATTCGACTGCGTTTTAAACTTGCCGATGCATCCATTAGTGATAAACGGTGTTGCGCGGTAAGCTGTTGTCCATCCACAGCTTCAGATTTTATCCCACACTAATCTTACATTTTTGAGTAGGTATTTGCGATTACTCAGTGCTTCTTTTGCAGTGCCACCCAGCATACGCCTACGCGCTTCGATGGTCATGTGCCAAGGACTCCAGTGCGCTTCGTCCTTTCCAGTGGCAATTCAATCGTTGCTACAGAGTAGCTCCTATATTGTGTAAGCTGGGATGCAAAGCGATTGCTTATATCAAAGCCATTACGTGATCATACTAACCTTATTGCTGCTGTTCTGAGCAGTAAGTACACTACAATGGAAGAAAGAGCCCCGCTGTTCCACGCACTGCTCCAATTGTGCACCACGTCTCAGACCAAAACTTCTGAAGAAAGTAAAGGTGATCTACTAGAAGCGACGTTTCGGATCTCATGTGGTTTATCTGATGCAGGTACGCGCGGCAGGAGCCACATTTAAGTTTCGCGAGGGTTCCTTATATATATTCATGTTGTTGCACATGTAGATTTTGGCGTTTTATGCTCATCGGTTTTGTCAAACCTTACCGTTCGTGTGCAAAGTGCAAACTCGATCGAGGCGTCCAGTAGTGTGTACATGTTGGGTCGAGCTCTTGGGGGTGTTCAAGACCAGCAGCATGGATTCGCCTTGATTGAACAACTCTGGCCTCTCGCAAAAGCTTCTCTTTTGCAGCACAGAAGTGACGGCGCCTGTCGACGCATAGGGGCTGGATTTTTTCTTAGCGTAATTTCCCATCTGGAGCAGGAAGCACTCCATCCAATTGAAGCAGAAATACTGGAAATGTGTCTTTGGTGGTATGGTGAAGGTATTGCTCCTGACATTCTCACATGTTGCACCCGAATAATCTTGCGTCAGAGAGGCAACTTAGGCATGCAGTCGTCAGCTGGGCACGCATTCGAGGTAAGAAAGAAAGTGGTCGTATTCGGACTTTGACCCATACCTGACCCGAATGTGTATTATCGAAGCGACTTCTTGCTGATTTTCGCAGCAAACTCCACGATGTCACCGAAACCAAAACTGATTGTGGCAAACTGTCAATGGAGAGCTTCCTTTCCCAGAATCTGGAGGCAGACAAGATGATTCCAGAAGTACAGCAGTTCCTGGAGTTTGCGCGAGAGGTTTTGAGCTCTTTTCCGCAAGCACTGTTGCAAAATCGGTCAAACGGAGAGCCAACGCTATATTGGGTCTGTCTGGATTTGGCAACAAGACTTGTGAAAGTGGATCACCAGGTAAGGGCTTGCAGAGTTGCTGACTGATGAAGTAGCCTGTCTGACACCTTGCGTGGCATGTTGGTTCGATTGTAGATGCAGGAAATATGTGATGCTGCGTGCAATTTCCTTTTGCACGCCATGCGATGCCAACCAGAGCAGATTGTGGAAAAGATAAACATTTTTGCCACAGAAGTTGTCCGTGTCGTCATGAGTTATCTGGGACCCAAAAGAAGACACTACAGCGCACGAAATCTTTGGGATTTTCTGTTTCAGTGTCTGCACGCACCACAAATATCGACGCAAATCCGAGGCAGGTACTTTGCATGCGTCGTCTTACTTCGTACTGATATCGTTTATCATGGGTGTTTATTTCCAGGCGGCTTCCTTTCCGCTGTGTCCACCGTAGTGAACGAGGAAGGTGCTCTTCGTTCTCTCTTATCTGCAGATGTTTGTCAGCAAATTCCTGGCGAGATGCGAATGCGATGCCAGCGACATCGCTTTCGACTGTACTTCACCCGGTTGGCTCACCTTGCTGAAGTGGCTTACTCCTAAACGTTGCAGCTTGGAGACTGAAGATGTGATCAGAGTTGTGGATCGATCTGTCCACGTAAAAAGGATAGCTGAAGAAAGAAGTGAGATGAAGTGCTCACTTTGGCGATCTGTAGCAATATGTCAATGGCAATTCCGTGGCTCTTGTAATTGAGGAGACAAACGTCGTATGAGATGCGAACTGAGCGGAGTATACAATTTGTGAATAAGTAAGTGCTAGCACATACATTTGCGAAGCAGACAAGAAGACGAGGCGAGCTGTTCTAATCAATTCAGTTGTTGGCAAGCTGATCTTTCACGACATCTTCTACATCCTGCGAATTCTTGCTCTTCTTGTTGGCTACGATGGACAAGAACGTTGACCATCCCAAACTGACACAGTTGACGAAAGGAGTACGATACTGTAATGGCACCAAACTGAAGACCATAAGGTTGGCCACGGGCCACACCTTGTAACTCATTACTAATGTCGGTGTCAAGTTGGCTGTGGCAAAATCGACGGCGTCACTAAGTCGTGCGCCCTCCATGGTCTTGGTCACAATGAAAAAGCCCAGATTCATGGCGGGGGCAACGATCACCATGTCTGCTGCAACCTTCTTGGCCACCACGAGTTTTCCCACACCAGGGATCACGCGATCAATGATATGAAACCACGTGTGCATGATGGGAGCCGTGAAAAGTCCACCCCATACCACCATCCGCAACGTCCTAGCTGTGCTGGGACTTACAATCCCCTCCTCTTTTTCAAGGTGACTGGGTTGACGCTTTAAATTGGTGGCCGGGACATCGGTTGCTTCGATATGCTGTGCAAGTCGATCTCCTACCCCCGAAAGAGTAGCAGCCGTCAACACTTTGGTCACCAATGGAGCTTTGTGCAGCCAATAATGGTAGAACTGTCCAAAACGACGCATGGTTAGCAAATGTGTGGAAGGAGACTACACGTTGATTTGAAGCATGCAAAAGCAGACATGTTGTGATTTGATGGTTTAACGAGATGTCTGCCCTTTATGAGGTAACTGTGTCGTTAATCTGTTGCTGGTTCCATCTTGTGTGTTTCCGAGACTTGACCATCTTTGCTTGCCATTTGCGATAGGAAGGCAGACCACCCAATGTTTGCTACATTGATGTACAGAACTCGATACTGCAAAGGCACAAAGCCAAAGGTGCCTACGTGCACCAATGGCCAAACAGTCCAATTTACTGCGAGCGTTGGACGCAACTTGGTCACTGCAGTTTTCACTGTATCATGCAATGGTTCGCCTTCAGAGTAGCCAGCATATGTGAAGAAAGCAAGTGCTAGTGGCGGTGCGAGAATGACTTGATCAATTGCAATTTTCTTGATGATTGCAGCCGTGCCTTTGCCTCGAATGGTCTTTTCAAGGAAATTGTACCACACGTGGCCAATGGGACCGAACACTAGTCCACCCCATACCATCATCCGTGCCGTCCGTTTGAGCCCGTAACGATCTTCACGGTCACTTTTGTCGTCATTTGTCTCGAGTCGTTGCGCGAATCGGTCACCCAGACCAAAGAGAATGGCCGACGTGACACCTTTCGTCAGCAGCGGAAAGTCCTGGAGCCATCGGTCGTACTTGAGTCGAAAGCCGCGCATTGGTAACGGGGTGTGAACTTGTTAGAGAATTGTGCAATGGAGTAAGCAGACGGAATATTACCTCGGTGATGTCTCTGCTGATGCAGATAACGATGACCAGCTAGTAAAACTAAAAGCGTTACGCATAGTCTCAGCCTGAGAAATGCACAAAGGTTTGTCTACGATGCCCGAAGTGCGTTGAGAAAGCGATAAATTTTCCCAATTCGATTTCGCACGAGCTCATTGAATGATGACAGCCATCCTAAGTATATGCTACATGTAATTCGAATCTTCAGCGTTAAGCGCTGACAATAAATACATAAAAAATAGTAGAACTACTCACTGCAGGAATTCTACAGACTCTCTCGGCCGAACCATACACTCAGCGAGCCTACTTGTGTAAAATGCTTGATAAACCTTTGCTGCATGCAGTCGAAGATCACTGAACAGCACATTGGTTTGCCCCAAACACACGGTCTTCGCTTTCAGGTTCAGGGCGAAGACGACGTGCTTCGGCAAAAAGTAGTTCGGCTCGTCGTCGACGACGCCACCAAAGCTGCAGTAACACCACAGCTTTAAGATCAATGCGCTCCTGCTCTTCCAACGGCACTGAACCTGGACCATAAACCGTGAGCAACCCCACTCCTCCTGCATCGAACTCGCGTGGCTTACGCACAATCACCTTTGTCATCGTGCGTTCTTCAGCAGCATCGAAAGAGTCGACTTCTTCGATGACAGCGCGCTGGAATCCAACTAAATCCTCGTCGAAGGCTTTGCGTCGACTCTCGGGTACGAACGGCGTCAGTACAGCACCTAAAATGCCAGTCGCCCCTGCAACAATCTCGTAACTGGCGCTAATCATGTTCATGGCCAACGAACGCACACCCAGGTAGGTACCACCGATAAGTTCGAGAGGACTACCAGAAGCTAAGCCACGAGCAGGTAACCGGACGAGCTCGACAATACCATGGCCCAACCGGTAGACGATGCGAAACGGATTTGCATATACTGATACCGTGTGCAAGCCACGGAGGACAAGTATAACAGATTGCTGGGAATACCGCCGTACTACCTTCTCAATCACACTCGCTTGGGGCTCATATAGATGTATGAACGAAAGCCGTGTCAGATACAATCGGAAATCTTTTACGTTAGATTCGGGAAGGTAGACAGCCAACCGTCGACCCGAAGGACCCAATGTCTTGATGTACCGTCCGCCGTGCAGCTCCATGGTAAACTTAATTCGGATGGCCTCAATTGTCAGCTCTTCGATATACACACCGCTCGCCTCTGTTACTGTAGTAGTCGCAGCCGCAGTGCCCCCACTACCTCCAAAACCACTTCGCTCGTCTGAACCCGCTGTAGGAATGATAGCGCCACTACTGAACCCACTTGCATAGTCAAGTTGCGTGTTCACAATTTCGTCAAAGGTGTGCTGACTCGTAAGCCCCTCCAATCCTTGAAAGACGCTAATAAGATTGACGACAAACTTTTCGTCCGTTGATACCTCCAATTCTTGCATCACGAGCTCGATAAGTTCATAGTGAATAAACCCACCAGCATCGCAGCTCGAATTCCATAGCATCCGAAATTGAATGACACTCATAGTGTTTGTGTCCATCTCCTCAAAAATGCCGCGGTAGCGATAGTTCACGAAACTACGCCAGCGGTCGCGCAACCGCACCGACACACCTTCTTTCACGCGATGCACTTTCGGACCCAGCACAACTTCACGCTCCATTTGATTGTCCATTTGCACGTTCCCTAGCGAGAATACAACCTCGCTGCTGCCACCAGCACAGGAGTACAACAGTCCGAGACGTCTCATCGATAGATACGCCACTTCCACCATGCTGGAATTTGCGTTGTGAAGGAACGATAGGCCGATACTGGGAATAATGGCACTCATGCTGTAGATGCCGGTGGGTTGTATGTGCTCGCATACTGATGTGCGGAACTTTAATGCCACCAACACCTCTCCTACCAGATCACCGCTTTCCGGGTCCCGCATGTCCCACCAGTGTCCTTCGGATCGTCCAAGCGACCGGCGCGCTTGTTCTGCTGTGTTATAGGACAGAGCTATCGATTGTTTTGCGCAGACGCCCATACGAGTCCAGGCTTTCTTTGGAAGTTTTATCTCTACACACCCAGCAGCACTGTGCTCTCGTTCCTTTCTGTAGTTATGGTCTTCGTCAGACTGCTCCGATGAGGCATAAGAACCACTCACCCGTTCGATATCACTTAGCTGCAGTCCTTCATCTACATATAGGCGATCGCTGTCGGTATGGTAGAATTCTTGATGCCGCGGCAACGACATCATGCTATCCGAAACATTGCCCGATAAAGGATGACAATGCCGAACACCAGGTGTATGCATCATCTCAAACGATATTGCATCGTCTCCAGTCCTCGGACTCCCCAATTCTGCAAGATCCGTGGCATCTAGCGCATATTCAGCAGTGCTACATCCAGCTCTATTGGCACGGTTGCTGTTAAAGCAATTATTGATGCCAACACTAGACACTTCGCGCATCATACCTTCTTGATCTGCTTTATTTTCGTAGAAGCTTAACGTGAGTTTCTTCGGACGGGAGTCACAGGAAAACTCGATATCAGAATCGAAGCGATACACGTGTGCAGTCTTCAGTTCCTTAGATTCCGCCGCTTTTGCCTACAACAGAAAACACACGCCATAACCATTAACCAGTGTTCAAGTTCAGATTTGTGATAAACTATTCGTTGACCCACAGCATGGTTGTCCGTTTCCGCAATGAGTTCTGCAGTCGAATCTGGTTTCAATATGAACTCGCTGCAAAGACGAGCTGCAATAATTTTCACTTCCAAAACGTAACTTGGTGGCTTATCTGGATTGTGGTCGCGGAACACCAGTACTCGTGATGCCCGATCCACAACAATATCGCCTGACACAATTTTTGATTTGCTCCCAAATATCCGATAGCGCAAGGTGTCGATATTACGCTCCCGATCCAAATTCGCAAAATCGTACACACCATAATTTCGAGAAATCATTTCGTGCCGACCCACTACACTTCCAGTTCGACATGCAACTCGCCTACGAAATAGATTAACGGTCGTTAGCTGCATCGAGGCAACAAGTAAATGCAGATAAACAACGCAGACAAGCACTTACCACGGTCCATCCGGTTTCACCCAGGCAAAGGGGATAAACTCCTTACTCCGAATCACAACTGTTTCATCGGAACAATGAACTTGGCTCACAAAGACGTCGGAGCTCGACTCGTTGCGGATCATGTACATCGGCGGATCGTCTCGTAAAAGCGTAATAACCATACTTGGGCCTACGTGACTGATCCGGACTTTGACACGGTGCATTTCCGAGACACTACGCCGAAAGCTCTCATGTCTGCTCCTGTCGCCGCTAGCATCTTTCCAAGCCTCCATCACTGAACCCTTCAGCATCAAAGAAAACTCGTTTTCATCGTCAATAGCAAAAGGTCCACTCCATTCCGCTCCGTAGTGGTTCATTCGCAGATAGACTCGTCGGTTCGCCAAGCGTGTCCTGGCATCAAAATCAAAATGATGTGTTGGCGGCACTCCTTTGTTTAGCATGGCAGATAGCTCCACAACTCGGTCGGTCGTTTTCATGTACTGAGAGACTTTAAATGCTACTGGGGTCTTGTTTACGAACACGAAGTGGGAAGTGATAATCACTTGAGTCGTGCGGTGAAACTGGCCCAGTGGCCGCTGGATCGATATTCCTACTTCATTGCGGGTTTTTGGGCCCAGCTTGCTGCCAAACTTCAAACTAATAGGTTCTTGGACGCCCACAACTGTCGAGTGGATTTTGTCCGACCATTGAGAAACTTCAGTGTCGATAATAGTGCCTATCTCAAATGCCTGGCCTGGACAATCCATTAGCCGTGGCACAGGCCGCTGAGAAACAAGCTGAGGCACGACCAAAGTCGATGCATCCGGATTATCCGTACAGCGAAACAACAACGTCTGCACGTGTGACTGGTTGTACACCCAGAGAGAACAAAACAGCACAATTCTCGGACTTCCATCATCAGTGGCTGTGAAGTCGAGGCGAGTAATGACCTTGTTTGACGAGACATCACCCTCCTTGAACGCAATGCCAGAGCTTTGCGGGGACGGGAGAAACTCCACAATTGGGTCCCGGGCACCGGTCGCACCCAGCATTGACTTGATCGACCTATCCATCCTCTCCCGGTAGATACAGTCACCCAAATTAATTGGTCGACTCCAAATGGAATCTATTTCAGGTAGTCGTAGCATTAATCGCGCACCCAGCTGAAAAGTGTGAATCGGAACTTCTTCACCAGGAGAAAGTGTGCCCGTTCGAAATACTTCCTCCAATAGCCCACTAGCGACAATCTTATACTGAACACGAATCGGGAGTGTGTTCTCAAACATGAGGCATGAGTGCAAGCAAATCTGATACTTAGTCGCATACGTCTGCAACTCACCGTCCTGGTTCATGTTTCCACGAGTGATCATTCCTTGGTGCTCTTCTCGGTATACCTTGCGCATGTGTGACGTGATGTTCACGTATAGGCAATAGCCTACACCTTCGGTATCTTCAGCTTCCAGGGTTAAAATTGTGGACCCTGCTGCCAGTTTGTTCAGGTCTGCAACAACCGTAGGTTTACATCCGTCGACCTTTACAACAATGGAGTCCTTCTCTTCGCCGAACAACGCGCTAATTGGGACTGACATCTTGTTGCTAGTAGTCAGCGTCATCAATTTGCCTGTCCTTGGCAGGGCACAGCTCTGTTCATTCAAAACAGCAATCAGTAAGATGTGAACGTGGAGTTCGGATCGATAATCTTAAGTCACGAGCAGATGTTACCTCGCCAGCGGCTAAACGTGTGCGACAGGTCCAAAGTTCCATATCAATGCTGGTGTCTACTCATGCATAACAGTGAACATGTCAATACTACTCAATCTTTTCTAAAATGCAGACTTTTATAGTACAAACCATTTTTTAACTGAACCGGCGAGCTAAGAAGCAAGACTCGTCGAGATTCGTCTCTCTGTGCAACCTTGACCTCGGCCAGCACTTTTTCGCCCTGAATGAGAAACTTTCCAGCACGACGCAGCGGGCACATCAGACTCATTCGGGATGAACCAATCAAGACTTCTAACGCCAACGGCGGGATGTAGCTCCCACGCAAGCCTTCAGATAGCACGACATGGTCCTTGCACTGGTCCGAAGATTCATTTGTGTTAACAATCTTCAGGGGATCAAACACTAGGAATTGACCGTCTTTTACTTGCTGGGGTTCGTTCGTTCTGGCATGGGTGACTGGGTCGTCTATGTCTGGCACAAAGTGCAAGCCAACAAAAATCTCTCCGGTGACATTTCCGCGTAAGTCATGAAGACGGTACCATCGATTAAGCTTCATTCGGCCAGGATCAAGTGAGGTCATGACATTGCCAGCCAAGTTGATCGCTGTCGATCCGATCGAAGACCATCTTATCCGCTGAGAAGCATTTGTGTTAGTGCTGTCTTCGCGATTCATGTACTGTTTTATGTTAGGTGGTGTAATTTTCCCTGCCGACGGTACGTCGACGAAATCATCGTCATCTTCTGCTTCCACTTCAACGTACTTATTTGTGACATGATCGAACACGTAGTTGCGTTTACCTTCGTCTGTCGTGAGCACATCAACCCTCAAAATTGGCGTGACACCCGACTGAGCTCCACCGTAAGGAAGAGTGAACTTATGACGGAAGTTCTCCACAGGCTGCACCTCGCGTGGGTGCCACCAAGGTAACAGAACCACAGATATGCGAACATTATGAAACCGCGAGTAACCCGGGAACGACCACCCATCTCGCACGTCCACATGTAGTGTTCCTGCATGTGACGTGTTGAGATTGGCGAGTCGAATAGGAACGCCCAGGTTGTTGAGGACACATACACGTCCATCCTCTTTTTTCGCTTCCCCATCAGCAGCCACAGCAGCGAGTGTTCGTTTCTCCACAATAAAGTCTTGTTTGGAACGGTTTTTAGCAATACTGGATAGCAACCGAATAAGCGAGTCAGTGCAGTTCACATTCAGTCGTTGCAACGCGCTTAGCTGTATAGTCGTTCCATCCTCACCACCATCACTTCTCGCTTTTGCGTAAGCTCGCCAAGGTTCGACGAAAGGCTCCCAGTCCGCTAAAGATGTGTTGTAATATCGCGCAAATATTTCTACGCTAGCATCCACAACGTAATCCGTTGAAAATTCAGTTCGTGTCACGCACTGCATCTTCATATCACTCATGGAAAAGTTCATCACTGGAATATAGGTGTCCAATGATACGACGGATAAACTCCTTTTAATCACCTCGAATACCACCGAGGAGCATGTGATGGATATGCGGTCATGGATCCTTCCCATTCGGAGTCGAGTTCGAAAAAGAGTTTTGGGGGAGCCTTGCCGCTCCAATGGTCCATTGGAAATACCAACTAGTAGCTGGTAGTTCAGTAATGGAATAAACGCAGACACTTTTTTTCGACGCTTGGACCGCTCTTGGCTATCGTCTTGCATCTCGAGGTTTAACCCAGCTGAGGTCGCAGTGGACATTCGGCTACGTCCTGATGGAGACGCATGCGGGCGACTAAAACCAGTTGCGTACATTGGCCGTAGATCAAGCAATTCTTGATCTTGAAAGTTAAAGTCCATTGAGGGTAGTCGCTCCGTTTTAGAAAATGGTTCACCTCCAACAAAGTTCACATCGTAATCCCTCCTACTGAAATCTCCTCGGTCACTGTTCGTCATGGTTTTTTCTTCGCTAGCGCTATCAAATTCTGACTTACCTTTTGTATCGTCTGGTATGATTGTTAGTGCCTCCAGTAACGCAAAAAGTAGCTCCAACCTTCGGTCGGCCTCAAGTTTCACCTGACCAATCGAAATGTTGATGGAGCGATGACACACTGGCCTCTTTGCCGACTCATCAGCACACAAGGCACAACTACCAGCACTAAATGCCATCTGAAGATGCAGTCTGAGATCATAGCTCAGCCAGAATCTGTCCACTTGAACCAGTCGAAGCGCAACATCTTCGGTTAGCACAAATAGCGCAGTGGGACCAAGATGCAGCTTGAAATTTTCCACTCTTGCATCAGCGCGGTACGAACATGAGCTGTCCTCGATCGTCAGCTTTGCTACACAATGAGAATCCTCAAGATAGGCCTCCAAAATTGGAGCACGAATCTGGATTCCAAGCTCAGGCACTTCTTTCCAAGGAGCAAAACTCACCTGCTCGGGTGCATATGTACAATCGACTCCACTATCTGTAGTGTCTGTGTCAGCAGCCCAGAGCACATTAAGGACGTCCATTATATCGAAAAAGACCTGCATCAAAGTAAATGGCATCACCCAACCGGATACTGTAAGCTCTGCGTGAAGCCCGCTTTGGCGTACGAAACAATTTGATTCAGCGCGTGCTCCCCGATAGGACATATGCAGCACAAGAAAGAGTCCACTATTCAAGTGGTCCGCTCGTATCTTACCGGGAGTCAAATTGCCATTTTTCAGGCTCAAAAACTTGTCGCCGACGTGCAAAAAACCGTAATTGGATGACTGGCGATGGTCCAATGCGGTGAAATCCTTCAAGCCTAAATATAACGCAAATGCAGAGTGGTCCGGCTCGGATACACTGTGCACATCCACAGCGAAATTCACGCCGGCTACACTCAAAGAAAACCAGGACGTCTGCTCTTTTTTCAGAGTTGCAGCTGCGCGGTAGATGCTTGAAAAGCCTCCTAGCAAGAGCTCGTCCAATTTTAATCCATTCCACTGTTCGTTTTTTGCAGTGTTATTTCCAACAGGCCCTTCCACTCCTGATTCGTACACAACTTCTTCTGCCTCCACATCCTCACTAATTAATCGTTTTGTTGCGTTTTTGGCCATGCTTTCAATACAGTGCTTCCACTTCTTCAATTCCACCAGATTATCAGCGCTAATTACCTTGCGAAGAGCACCAAATCGGGTCGTAATTTCAAGAACTTGAGACAGTTTGTCACGCTGTGAGCCCCACGGTCCTCCAGAAGTGTAGGGTAGCATGATAACCTTGCAACCCATTAGGCTAAACACATCGAGCGTCTCGGCGCCTGAACCGTTACTGTAAATCGAGAAGTTGCCGTTAGCATCGAGGTGGCACCACGAGCGACGCCAACGTCGAAATGCGAGGGAATCAACTCGGGTATACAGCCAGCCCATTTTCTCGTTATCTTGGCAAAACATCCATCGATTTCTAGCTAGCGCTAAGCGAACCATCTTACGTTTGCGTACGATAGCTCCTCGAATGAAACGTTGCATCACGACAATTGCATGCGCCGCTCTGATCCAATCTGGAATAGGTGGCGGTCCGCTTGGTTCATCGCCGATAAGTTGCTTCAGTAGAGCACGATACGAAGGCTCGTAGGAAATTTTAGCAGGCGCAATAGGCGTTTCGTGGGCGCTGATAAATACTCGCAATAGTTCAACTTTGACTTCATACGAGTAGCTGCTGACTTCTGTAGCCTTAGAAGGGCTCGTCGATGCATATGATGACACTTGAGAGCTCCATGACAAAGGCACTGTACCCAAATCAATCTCTATCCGAGGAGCGCTTGATGAAGGCAAAGTACCATTGGAGTAGTCGTTTGAGATTGCACCAAGCCAGTCGTGCCATTCGCCAAGTAATACCGTCGTCTTTGCTTCATCAATAACCACAATGGAGTTACCAATTGCCACCGAGATCTTTGACCCAAAAGTATCCACCCTGTCAGGGCAGGCGTCTGGATGCGCCTCATAAAAATTATCCATGCTGAATAGGAAGGCTGGGCTGTGAGCATCTCCATCACCAAAAACATCCACGGGTTTGCATATGCTTGAAGCAATGCAATGATTACCTTCGTCTTCCTCTCGCGACATGCTTTGCACGTAAAAGCTCTTGACCATGACTTCGTAAAAGTGGTACAAGAATAAGCTAGGGCCGTACCCAGCGATCGATATCGCAAGGTTGTCCAACACAACTTCCGCAATAACCTGCTTCTGAAAAGCTCGTACGAGGCAGAATTTGAGCTGATCAGAAGTGAAAGAAACTTGGGCGACTGTAGCGACTGTACGAGGTGATGTGACTTCGGGAGGCACCACGGAGGGATACCGAAACGTCAATACCTTTGTTCCTGGCATGACGTCAATAGCAAGCTCCAAATCCAGCTCTGATTTAAACCTGAACACCGATCGTACCGGTTTGTCGTCCACTTTTATCAGCAAGAGCCCTGGCTTCAGATTGTCTATAGCCGCAGCAGGACTTTTCTCTACACACCGCTTAATTGCCACATCACCCGACGGCAGTAGGTCAAATAAAAGGCCCGTTGGGCCTTCGGGAAATGATACATTTATCTCTGGAAGAGGAATTCCAGCTGCGTTCATACTTCCATAGAGCATATCGGGGTATGACACTGTCTTTCCTTCAGCAAATTCCAGCCCAAGACGGTTCCGGATAGCTACTACCACTTCATACGGTAGTTGTTGTTCTATCCTTGTCGCGTTATCCCATGCCTCGCTCTTCCTCAATTCATCCATTCCTTCAGTTTTCATAGCCATTATCTGGTTCCAAACCAATAAATAATTTTTCGCCAGTTCCGTCATTGTGGCCTCACTATTTGCTGTATGTTGCTCTGACGTTTTAACCTGTTCTGCTACCATAAGCTGCCACTTCTCGTGACCAGAGAACGTGTCCATGACCAGATTTACCACCGACAACTGCTCTTCATCCAATGTCACCCATATCCTCGACAAATGAAACACCGCGTCATACCGCGGGTCATCGGTATGCGCATGTTTTGCTGCAGTATTCATTGTCAACTTAAGAGTCACATTGATCGGTGCCACCAAGAACCTATGTGCATGTACACTCTCTTCGGCATTCCACCAATCTGCCTTGGCTACTCTCGATCCCATCGCTTTTAACCGTGACAACGCTGACTGCAACACCTTCGGGTGTATCTTCGAGTGAATAAAATGCAGTGCGTTCGGGTCTACATACACTGACAGATCAATAGCATTAATCAACTTGAATACCAAGTGATTATTTTCCTGCGACTTGTCGTTCTTCTGGTCGTCAAACCCTTCAACTCTCCAATTGCTCGGCATTGTGACGGCTGAAAGTGCTCCGAGCGTGATTCCAACTGCAAATTTGACGCCCTCTCTCTCCTTGTTACTAGCTCTGGAAGTTACCGGATCCTTCATCGGTTCAGACGGGGACCAGACTCCTTCCACACGAATGTGTAGGTTCCTAATGTCGACCTGCAAATTGTCAATAAGTTTCGTCAAAGTGCGTCCTATCCAGCCGTCGGTACCAAAATACCCTTCACTCTCATGAGGCACCGCAGATTCTAATACTTGTGGTCCCGTCCATCGATCCTGTAAGTCCTGTTCAAGCCTGTACATCTTCTGCCCTACTAAGAACAAAATCTCATCCTGCAGCTCTTTTTCATCGTGTTTAAGAGGTTCTAGAACCAATAGAACGTCCTGGAACTTGATCTTGGCCGAAGCACTGCCAAAAATTGCAGAAATGGGCAAATCGGCTTCAAATAGACCCACAAAGCCCGTCTTGAGTCGAAATGGTAACCAATTGGGCACGACGCTGGCCTTAAGCGTCAAATTCTCGAGTTTAAGACGCTCAGACGACTGCCAGAGTTTGGTGGACACGTTCATTGTCTGACTCTCTACATATTGACCTAAAAAGGATATAATCCACGATTTTAATGGACCCTCGAGCATCGTCCAGAGCTAATAAATACGTCGGTAATACAATAATGAAGCTGGCTTTATGAAACGAAACAGGATGAAATTTGGGTATAAAAATGGGCTCATATTTCCATATTTGGTCACTAGTGGTCTCCATAATATCGTAATATTCATTTTGACAGGGAGTTTACTCAAATAAGTCTCATCTGCTACAATTTCAGATTGAAGTGCCAGAGAACGGCCTAACAATAATGGACAACATTAAATTTAGAGACCAACTTGTTTATCCACGTTGTGCTCTTGGCTGTGCGATTCGATGGTGCATGGCGTCGACATGACTGATTGTTGTAAGGGGCGTACTTGCTACGCTCCACTCACTGGGGCTGTGACCACCACTGAACTCATAGCGGACACGAACCACGTAGCTCTTCGAGTAGTCGAGGCCAAAGATCGTCGTAACCAGTTCGCGCTCGTTGTCACTTGCTCGTCGAGGTCGTCCTGACCAATTCTTCCAAACCTTCATTGTCCAATCTCGAGAAAATTGCAAGTGATACGATACCGCTTTCGCGTGTACACGCCAGCTCACATGAATTGCAGCCTATAAACAAAGTCGTTAGATTATTCTCACAGACTGAACGAGGATAGAAGAAATAATCACTCACTCAATACCGTACCTTAATAGGCGACTCGAGAGAGATCTCTGTACGCGGGGCGGCCGGGACAATGCCCAATCGTAGTTCCCACCGAGCGCTATCAAACCCATCGCCACGACGAAAAGGTTTGCGAAGAAATGCAGCCAGCCGCGACGACTGCCGACCTGACGTTAACTCTATGTCTGTAAGCTCTGTAATTACCGAACTATTCTCCGTAGATCGCGCACTATCAGCGTCGCCAAAGCTTTCGGACATGACGGCGTCCTGGCTGCCCTGGCTGTCCGAGTCGTCCCGGTTCTCTTCCAACCCGGGATGTTCGGGAAACAAGAAAGCTCCGGCTGCAATGGGCACACGCAAATCGCTGTCAACACTCTCCACACTCGACCGTCTCAAACCAACGTCCTGCTGCTCATTGCCTGACATCGACCACGCTCGTCGCAGTGTAAATCTGGTGCGGAATCGCAGACGAATCGGCCGGGACGCGATCTTAAGAATCCGCAGAACGTCCTGAAATTCCAAATTTGTAATACTTTCTCCATTCACCGATAACAGCACGTCTCCTTCCTGCAAAACGTCCATCGAGAGACAGGAACACGCGGTTATATGTCCGCTTAATCAAGTCAAATAAATCAAAAAAGAGCACGTACTCGAATCTGGTGTGACACTTGTCCGACACTGAAGATCGTGGACTTGACAATGGTTACTGGAATCCTGTAGCCTAAAGGGTCTATCTGCTCATGACTTTTTAAAGTCAACCCCAATTTATCCTCTCTAAACACGACCTGACCAGCAACAAATGTATACAAATGTCAATACCATCTGTCGGCTTTTAGGATCAATCCTATTCTATGACTTCAAAATAACCTCATAGTCCTCGCAAAATTGGTCAACACTATGAGACGACGGCTGCGTCAACGGCGCTGGGCAGTGGCTCACTCTACTGCTGATGCTACAAGCCGAGACACTGAGGCTGCTGCTGGAACTACGGCGGGTATCGTGCACAGATATGATGGACCCGCGATTGCTCTGCTCTTGCTGGAAACGAACCGATAGACGCTCCATGGTCTGAAATAATTTGTTTGAGAAAAGAGTCAGATTGCTTAAGTATACGTTTGACATGATCGTACTTAGCATGATTAAACCGAATATTGGTATCATTTAGTCTCAGTATTCTCAGACTCTGAGAATCCATTCCCTGGGAACGCTTAACTATGATACTTGTCGATGCAAATTCTACCTCGCTAGTAATGGCCTCCCAAGCAGTAGCTGTCGAAAGTCGACGATATTGAAGATGCAGCGTCGAAGTTTCGGCTGGTTACTTGTGCCAGGAATGCGTGGTCTACATAACATATGTTGCGTGGAGCAATGTGTTTAGTACATAAATTATAAACTCGTTGGCTTTGTGTCATCGCTTCGGCTGTGGCCCACCGGCTCATCACCCGACGAGACTTTCTTTCGCTAACGATACGAGCATTTTATAAAATGAGCACGAGAAGCAAAACGGAGCGAAGGATAGAGAAACTTGAAAGTCGAAGAAAGTCTGCACTTAAGTGAGACTGAACGATTTATGCGGAAGAGAGAATTTTGAAAGAATTCCATTTATCGTAGCTTAATCTGCCTACTACACGATCAACATGTAAATCACATATAAATCATGTCAAACGTGCCCTCATTTTTAGCGTCTCCTCATCATACGCGAGATCGGATTGGTTTCAGCAACCCTGTAGCGGAGCTGCACAGCTCTTTAGCCA